AAAAAAAAAAAAAGAAATCTCTAAGCATTTTTAAGCCAGATCCACAGAGATAGGCAACTTTGGACCCTGTGCATTCCCTACATGAGTAGGATGTGGTGGTTTCGGGAGTCGCGCAGCCTTTCGGAGCCGAACAGGACCTTGAGTGTGGTCTAGCACAGTATTTACAGACGAGGCGACTGGCTCAAGGGAGGCCAGCCCACCTGCTGCAAGGGGCAGCCTTTCGGGGCCAAGTGACACAGGGGTCCCGGCACCCTGGACAAAGGCGGCGGCCTTGTCCTTCTAATGGGGCCTCGTGGGCCACCTGTCCAGCCGGCCAAGGTCCCCCCAGCTCCAGCTGCCTGCAGGCTCCAGGGTCCCCCACAAATGTCCCCAGCTCAGCTTCCCAGGTACAGTGGAGGTAGCTGATACGGCAGATGAGGAAAGAAAATATTCTTTCAAAACCATTCGGGCTGATCTGCACGATCTTTTTGTTTTGTTTTGTTTTTTAGGCAAAACGAAGGTGGTCCGAAATTTAGGAAGAAATCATCTGTTTTGCTTAAAATAAGAAGCAGGTGAGAAAGCAAACGCCACAGGAGAGTCAAGCAGCTTCACGAGAGCTGACTGTGTGACTCGGATCCCCACGGTGAGGCCGCCCGGGCCCGCAGTGGTCACAGGCTCCACCCGGAAACCAGATGGCTGGGTGTCTCTGAACACAGCCAGTTATTTAGCCTTAACTTATCCTTCACAAGCGCCGAAAAGGTACGCTTTCTTAAAATGATTGAGATTTATCGACTTTTGGCTCTGAAAGTGACTTCATCAGAAAAGAGACAAATCTTAGAAAACCAGGAGAAGGAAGTCATAAAACGGACCCCTCCTCGCCGGGCTCTCTGCCCCCCACGGCCGGGGCTCCCCAGGTGACCATGGAGAAGCTGTCCTGGCTCCCATCCACAGTAGGACAAAATTTACCCAGGAGGCCTCTTGTCACCAGCTTGTTGCCGTTTTAAATTCTGCCCGTTTTCGGTGTTTTAAAGTCTGCAAGTAGAAACAAAACAAACCGTTCTACATCTTCCTAGTTAAAGCTAGAAAAGGTAGTGAGAGAACATTCAACCCCGGCAGGCGGAGAAGCCGAACGCCCGACCCCACCCACCGGCGCGCTCCCAGGTGGGGTCGGGAGTCCCGTCACCGTGCACAGGTGCGCGGCCGCCACTTGGGGGCGCCCTCGGCCACCACGTCTTAATGGTCCACCTTCCCGGCAGCAGAAGTTTTACCTCTCTGCCCAGATTTTGTACTTCAGGACAAAATAGGCAATGAGGCGCAGGGTAATGAAGAAAATCCCCAGCACGACGAAGTCCAGGGAGAGCATGGCATTCTCCACGTCCAGCTCCCGCAGGATGGCCTCCGACTTCTGGAAGTGGCACGTGTCGTCGATGTCGCAGTGCAGGTCTTCTCGGTCCAGGCCGTAGATGGAGAGGATGACGCCCTCGAAGCCATACCTAGGGGGACAGCGCTGCGCGTGAGAGGACCGTCTGCGGGAGGCCAGGCTGCTGCCACCACTTCCTGCCTCTTCCTGCCCGCTGTGTCTAGATCCAGACGCCCCCACCCTCCTGCGCTCCAGAAGCAGCGTTTGGGAGGTGACTGGATTGTGAGGCTCATTGCTGTGAGCAGCTCTCCTCTGCCAGGCCCCTCTGTCTTGGAGCCAGCTGGCCACGGACTGAAATGCCTGAATCCATGAACCCAAATAAACTCTCCTTTAGGTTGTGTGGAGTCAGGCATGGTGTCCCAGTGACAAGAGAAGGGGCCAAGGCGGTGCCAGAGCTTTCTTTCCTGGACACTTCCTTACCCCTTGACATCTTTCTAAGACAGTGGTGGCGAGCCTGTGGCAGGCATGACACAGTGGGCACGAAGAGCCCTCTGTCAGCACATGAGCCAAGTCACCGCAGCAGCGGAGCAGCGGATGATGGTTGTTTTTTCTTAACTAAAACCCCAGTTCAGCGTTCAGGTTTAACTGCAGTGCTGGCACTATGCGATGAATAAGTGGGGTCTGGGCTGCACGTCGGGCGCTTGGCCTCTCAAAGGTTCGCCACCACTGTCCTCGGACAAGCACACGCGACGTTCCACTTCAGTGTTTTTTCCAATCTTGTTTCTTGTAGGGCCCCAAGTAAAAACCCAAAATGGAACCAACAGCAGGTAACTTATTCAGCGGAGAAGCGAACTGAGGAACACTTGGATTCCTTCCATAGCTGCACGCTCCTAACAGCTGGATGGAGTAGTGGGCAGGTGCCTGGCGGCACACGGAGCATTTAAATAAAGCACCACGCACGTCCACCCCGCTGTTCCTGCCTTGCCGCGGCACAGCCAAAACACCGATTTTCAGCAGGAAGACACTGGCCTGGCTTCTCAGTGCTGGTGAGTGCATGGACCATTACAGCCCAGCAGCAGGGGCTCTGTGACCCCCTTGTTGGCCTACACAATCCACCTGGGTCTCAAGTGACGCCCAGAGAAGCAGTGCTTTCCTAGAGCGTGTGTCTCAGGGGCAGGGAGGGGCAGTGAGAGACTCTCAGCCACGAGCCCCAGGGCCTAGGCGCTAGGATTGTGTCCTGGGAATTCGAGGACACTGGGATGTTTAAGAGCTGCTTGTCCCCACCAATTTCTTACTCGAGTTGAGGAGAATCGGGACCTCCTTACAGCCTATCTCTCGGGAAATATGCAAACTGCCATGAAGGGCGGACTGGGACTCCGCTCCCGGTGACGGTGGGGTGCACAAAATTGGGGAGAAAATGAAAGGCGGTGACAGCTCTGGCCCGGGGTCCACTCTGTCCGGCCGCCAGGCGGTGGCTGGTGCACACCTGGTCCCTCAGCTGTGGCCCCACCTGACGTAGGAGATGTAGGACATCCACTGCAGGTACGTGGGGATGGTGTCAAAGCTGACGAAGAACCCGGAGAAGAGCAGGACCGGGATGGCTGTCACGGGACCCACGAACGTCGCCACCTGAGAGGGGAGGACCGTGTTGGGGCATCCACACGCCCTCTGCTCATGGCCCCGGGGACAGACGGGACCCAGAGGGTCAGAGCTCTCAAGGCTGACCAAGAGCAGTGGCCGCCAGCCTTTGGGGACCGCCCCGGGGTGGCCATGGGGTGGTGGCTCCACCCAACCTGCTGTGGCGCTGGCGTCCCAGAGTGGCCGGGGCTCTGCAGCCCTGACAGTGCGTCCTCCCTGGGCCTGTACTGCCCGGACAGAGGGGCGGCACATGGCACACAGCAGGCAGGGCCAACGGCCTCCCAAGTGGCCCGTGGGGACGGCCACAGCCACTGTTCCTCATTACAGTGCCCTGCATGTGGGTCTGTAGGGTGTGTACGGTGTGTGACACACATGGTTTGTGCTGTTTGCAGTATCCAGGTGCAGCGTTGTGCGCGTGGCCGTGGTACACGGATGTGCACACCCACGTGGAGGGTGCTTGGCCCCTGGACAGCGGCAGCAGGAGCCCTGTCTGCACAGGTGAGGCTGTCTCGGGCTGCAGCTGCTAAGGGTCTGAGCAGGACTGAGGCACCGTCCCAGGGTGGCGCTGTGCCTGAGAGGCGTGGCAGGTGGTGCCCACTTAAGCAGGGGCAGCAGCGGTCTGTGAGTGGCAAGGATGAATAGGGCCAGCACAGGGCTGGGCAGCCAGCTGGGAAGAGGACAGCAGGGGGATGAGGCCACAGAGCCTGGGGAGACCAGCAGGGGGCACAAGTGAGCAGCCCACCTCCCGCAGTGTCTGACCTCACCACGGGCCACCAGACCCCTCCTGGAGGGGCTCACGGACCACGCAGCACCAGGCAGTGCACAGGTGGGAGTCTGGAGGGGACAGAGGCACAGACAGGGCTCTTCCCACCCAGACAAGGACACCGAGGCTGCAGGCCACACTGCCGGCTCCAGGTGGACGTCCGCCATGAGCTGAAGTGCGAGGTCCCAGCACAGGCTCTCAGGGGTCTTCGGTGTGCACAACCCACCCACAAGCTCCAGTCTGGGTACTTTTCTCTTTTTCTCCTACTTCAGATTGAATCCAGGGCCTTCTCACTAAGCTACATCCCCAGTCCTTTTTAATTTTTTGTTTTGTTTTGTTTTGTTTGGAGACAGGATTTAACATGGTAAGTTGCCCAGGCTGGTCTTGAACTTGTGATCCTCCTGCCTCAGCCTCCCAGAGTGCTGGGTTTACAGGTGTGCACAGCCTCGCCTGGTGACCCGCTTGGTTTCTAAGGACTGAATTGACCCGAAGCCCCAGGGGTGGAGGAATGCAAGGACTCGGTTTGGCAGGCTGTGGTGGGGTGGGGCTGGGCTACTGGAGGCCATGGGGATGGAGGGGACCAGGACAGGTTTGGGGACCCAAGGGGAGCAGGCACACGCAATGGGAGGTGTCAGGGTGGACCCCGTGCATGGAGACATGGGGAGCTGTGTGACCCCAACAGACTGCCGCGCGTCTGGGCCTCATCTCCCCACATGTGAAGAGGCTGTGCTCAGGCTGGGGGCTCCCCCAGCTCGGATTCCGAAAGACCAGTGCTGCCCACACAGGGGAGCTGCTGGAAGACCAGTCCAAGCAGGGTGGCGCGAAGCTGGGAGGCACAGGGCCGGGCTCCACCCCAGCACCAGCAAAACACCCACCCCGGGCCGGCGCAGGGCGTCCCAAACCCAGCTCCCAGCACCCCCGCGAAGTCCTGGGGCCAAGGAAGGAGGCAGGGCCTGAGGGGAGGGCGCCGAGCCCCACTCAGGCGGCCACCCGGCCACGGCGCCACGCACCTGCAGGGAGGTGGAGGCGGCACCGATCAGTAGCCCCAGGGACTGCGCCACCAGTGAAGTCATGGTGCCCAGTGCCGCGAAGAGGACGAAGCGGACGGCGTCGGATGGCTGTGACGTCATCCAGTACACGATGCTGCAGTAGGCCACGGGGAACAGGATCTGGGGACACAGAGGCGTCACCTGCCGCCCCTCTGCGGACACCCCAGTCCCGCCCTCCCGGAGCAGGCCCACGCACCTGGAAGGGGACGTCGGCCATGGTCTTGGCCAGGTAGTAGGCCTTCAGGCTGTACCAGTAGTTCAGGTGCTCTCTGAGGAAGACGCCCATCTCCAGGGGGACTGGGGTGAGAGAGAGGACGGGTCAGGCACACCTCCAGCACCACCCGCACCAAGGTCTCGGAGGGCCCAGAGTTTGAAGGAAAAGAGGATGCATTTTCTCTTCTGATAAGCGTCTGGGAAGCTGAGCCTGTAACACCAGCCCTCTGGGAGGCTGAGGCAGGATCACAAACTTCCAGCCCAGCCCAGGCAGTTGAGTGACTTAGTGAGAACTTGTCTCAACGTTTAAGAAATAAATAAAGGACTGGGGATGGAGCTCAGTTCGAAGATGAAGATGCTGGGTTCAATGCTCAGTACTAAAAAAATAAAAACAAAACAGAACAACCCCCACCAAAAGATAAAAATCCGACCAGAGACAGCCCGCTGGGAGATGGAATGGTGGGGCTCAGGTGTCCCCAGGCCACCAGGTGTAAGCAGCAGAATCGAGGGGCTGCTGCTGGAAAGCCTTTGGAGCTGTCCCCCCGCCTGCCCGCCTCGGGACGTCTTCGTCAGAGGCTCCCGCCTTCGGCCGAGCATTGTATTTCCCACCGAATGCAGCAACACCGGCTTCGTCGGCACCCGGGATGGGACTGGGAGAAGGTGAGACGCCGTGTGCGGGAAACCCACCCTCACGGGGGAGCCGGCCCGGCCGGGCGCGCAGCCACTCACAAGTCAGCACGGTGGGCATGAGGGCGGCGAACATCAGGAACAGCATGGAGAAGAACAGGAAGCCGGAGTTGCTCAGCACCTTCTTGGCCTCGTTCCCGATGCCCAGGTAGAGCAGGCCGATGAGGAGGCCGATGCCGATGTGCGAGGTGACGCGCAGGTGTGTGAGGACCTGGGGACGACGGGCCTTGAGTCCCGTCCCGCACAGCACCCCGCGCACACGGCACGCTCTGCCGCTGGTCAACCACAGCCACCGCCACCGTTCACCGCAGATGAGCGGGGAGGGCGGGGCACTGGCGCATA